CGGGATCGATTTCCCCATAAATCATTGCGACCTAGGAGTAAGGGGCACCAGAAGCTCGTACTCGACGAAATTGAAATTGTGCCGAATGGCGTCGAGACCGCGTCGTCGATATCGATTCCTTGATAATTAGCAGGTATTCGATAAGGGCGATTCTCTCTTGCTTTTATGCAAGAGAGGGCGGGGGGGAGACACGAAAGAAACTCAACGACACTTTGTTTCGATTGAACATTTTCGGTCTCTTCGTATTTCGAAAATTTTTTCTTGCAGCAGATTGCAATTTTTCCTGTTTTATGAAGATGTAGCGATAAAGAGATAAGTAAAGATGATTAAAAATTGATTTTTAAAATGATTATAGCAATTATTTATAGCAATATTACAGAATGTTGTTACCAAATTTCCAGTTTGTAAACATAGAATTAAAGTGATGGTAATATTTCCGTCTTGTTGGAACGCCGATTAAAATTATTTAAAGCATTGAGGAAGGAGAAGCGTACGGGATTCACCTTTCGACCGTATTTTCCTTGGCAATGTTAGACATCCGGTGTAGTCGCTTTCCGAGGAATTCGTGCGGAATTAATTCAGCAACTGAGCAAAACTCTTTCAGGGAATATTCAACATTTCTTTGAAATTAGGGAACAATGACTAAAAGGGCTGATAGCACAGGGGAGAAAAAAAGACACATTTGTCACAGTTGCCAGCCAAAACTATCATCATGGCTTCAAACTGCTGCGGAACTTTTGATGTGGAAATACTTTTGTAATGGAATAAAATGCATAATCAACAAAACAAGAATTTAATACGAGAAAAATATGTTTTTATTATGATAGTACATATCTATATTACGATTTTTTTAAATCACTGATCAACTTAATTGTATATTCAATTAACTTTAGAAAATGTATAAAAACTATTGTAAAAATATATATTTCTAGATTTAGAAATTTATTTTGTTAACGGCGCAAACAGTACGAAAAATTACCGTGTAAAGAATGGTAATCGAAATGTCAGAATAATATACGAATATCCGATATAAAGGTTAGGTAAAATATAAATCCAGAGATTAAACAATGATTTTTATATGTTCAAAGAAGTAATCTAAATTGTAGAAAATCAAATGGAATGGGATATTCTGTTGAAATAGAATTTATTTTAACGATGGCTTTGTCGCAAATTTGATACCACAGTAAACGCAGGCTTTAAATACTTTTTTTCCACGATGACAGATATTTCGTAAAAGAAAAAATGTTCGGATATTATTTCTTTTTAAATTATTTTTTATACATACAAAAAAATTTTTCAATTTTTTACGAGGCAAAAGATTAAATTATATAATTACTACAGGAAAATGCAAAAACATTCTTTTTTTTTTTAATCAGAATGTTTTATATTATTTAAATATAAAATAAATGATGAATATAAGATATTAATTATGAATCATGAAATATTTAATATTAATTTAATTGATAACGTTTCTGAGAAGTGACGTTACAATTGCATATATATCCATTTATGAATTTAAGATTCATGTAACTGTAATGACATGAAAAGCACATAAATGTCGAATAGAGACGATCTCTATAAGTCGGATATTAAACAGAGCGAGATTGAAAAGAGATTGAGAAGAAGAATAAGAGTGAGAAAGAGAGAGAGAGAGAGAGAGAGAGAGACTCATTGGCTCGTTAATCGAAATTGAAAAGCAATTCATTTATCACTTGTTTATTACTTTGTTGTTTTATTATTGTCATCTGTACGCACTATATCCTATCAAAGGATTTTAATTTTCTTACAGTAAGAAATATATAAAATAAATATCCAATAAAAATAAATGTCCATGCATATACATTTGTTTTTAATTTAATGCGATTATAGCTTCCTCGATATATCTGCGAATTCGTATTTGTGTATTACAAAACTGTTGCTTTCCATTATGTGCGCTCGTGATGAGTAACGAAATAATAATAATAATAATAATAATAATATCCAGGCCGCTGCAGACACAGATATTTAGATCAGGTTGATGATACATATGGTGGTCGAGAATGTAAAAATAATATAACTCGTAATAATTAACACTCGCGGGACACAACGCGTGACTAATGCTCGCGCGGCAGTGAGATAAAGGGGCAGTGATAATAATGTGCGTTACAGTCAGCGAAATGCGACGCCTGCAACGAGCAGGACGCGTTCCATTTTGAGCCTCAACGTCACTCGTGTTTCGAGATGCGTGCGGCAGACCGGCGTAAAATAATGTAATACAACGCGCGTCTTTACGCACCGCATAGTTACGTGCTTAAACTTTCTAACTTCCAACCCCGCGTCCCTCGATATATCGGCGAAATGACTCGAGACGCCGTGCTTTCACCCGATGTTATATCACGCAAACGAGCCATGCAACACGCATCCAATAAGCCACCCAACACGCATCAATTGATAACATTTTACCGAGCGATAATTCGCAACAAAAAGTCTCAATGCGACGTGAAACTTGTCGGACCGCCAGCAATCAACCTTGAAATTGATTTCGTCGTGGAACACATTCAACTTGCGTAGAAATCAAGTCTCTACTAGAATATGATATGATATCGCGAATTCAGTGGTCTTGAAATCTATTTTCAAAATTAATATATAATAATTATATAGCATATAAATTGAAAATTGTTAAGGTGCAGCTTGTTTGTAAACTCGTAATTATAATAAAAATATAGAGCGAAGATATATTTTAGGATACAAGTTTAAATGAAAATTAAGCTAGCTCCCCCCTTATTCGCATACAATTATCTGCTATATCACGAGAAGAATGTCGTCATTCCATTTTTTTTTTCTTAACTCGGCCAAGGCAGAGTGCCGCAGGTTTTATGTTCGTACAATGAGTTGTGCGATGACAGCAATGGTGGTATAGCGATTCGCTTCGATAATTTGCATGGATTCTGTGAGTTAACCGAGTCTATTTGTATTGAGACTGTGTAAGAAGTCAGTTTCTCCGAGATCCGAAAGCGATATCTTTTCGACTAAAAATTTAAAAGCCGTATGTTGATTTTCCAACAATGAATATTATACAGGTTATACGGATTTAAAATTTTTAAAGTTGAATTATCTATCGTTACATACACGTATTGTTTAATATATAACGCTTTGATTATTATCTGTAAATTATTTCTGGCTATGAAATAGAATAGAATATTCCGTACAAAGATAAATATAATTTAATAAATTCCTTTGCATTTTCGATATCCTATTTTCATTAATCAATAAGCCATTTATATATACGCTTGAATAAACTTTATTAAATTCCATTAATTGTTTGTTATTGCAAACTCAATATTTTTATAGTACGAATTTATCGAGTGATCCTCGAAACAAGTTTCTCCCACCTCACCAAGTGCCAACGCGTCTGTCCTTCTCCTAACAAAACGTCCTTTTGCCGCCTCTTCCTCTCGCTTCTTCCTTTTACTATCTTCCGAACCATCCAGTTGTTCTACTAGATTTTCAAGTGCAGCCTGTGCCGCTCAGACGCAAAGAACAATGGAGGAGGAGAAAAAGGATTTAGCAAAAGAGAGAGGGGCAGAGAGGGAGAGAGAACGAGCTCGCTTTGAGATGCGAAGGGGTTAAAGCCGAAGAGAGGGATCGAGGACCAAATAAGGAGAGCTAATGCCGCACAAAGGAGAGGAAACGTCGGATCTCGTATGAACACCACAAACACGCAGCTCGAGTTTTGTGCGCTTTGTCCGAACAACACACAAGCACGCTGCGGCGGCGCGCTCGCGTTGTTCGCGTCGCGCGTGTGTTCATAAGCGGAAAAGGGGGTCGCCCTGTGTGTTGTTAGGCAAGCTGCGCATGAGAGACAAGAAGCACACGCAGGGCCGGATGCCAGTCGGGGCCAGTTCGCCGGCAGGCGGGAGGGAACCGGAGCTACTCCCTTTTCGCTACTCTTCGCTCGAGCACCAGAAACGGAATTATAAGGCATAATCGAAATTTGTGCGAGCCCTTTGCAGCCGAGTTTCTCTATTCCCTCTCTCTTACGCGAAAGTTGACGTCAAATGCAATCCGCGCGCTGAACTCGCAGCCAGAAAGGCTGCCCCGGAAGTTGCCCGTAATCTTCCCGCCGGCGCCATTATGCCGCTTACTAATTTGTGAGACTAATTATCTAGTGTCGCATTTCGTTACCGCTTTTCTCACTATTGTCAAATTCTTTCAATGTTATCTCGTGCAATTTTAACCAGACGTGTGGGAATTGCGATTCACACATTTATCGTCAACGTAAGTTTTGAGAAATATTTTGCAAATGATGATCCCAAGTTGCATGTTACTTTTTGAGTGTGTTCAAAATTATTAGAGAAATGATTTGTTACTATTTGAAGGTTTCTTATAGAAGATCCGTATTGGAACATATATATTACAGTTGACCTACTTTTGTCGGTTCACGATCAGTTTAATTCCAACGGTTTTTGTCGCGGAATAGCATCGTCATTCAGAACTCATGAATTATATCCGATAAGTGATCTGAAATCTAATCTACGTTTTCATAATGTTATATCGTGTAATAGAGAAGATTTATAAAATTTTCCAAATAATCATACAATTTTCCCAACATTGTTCGTGCTGTAATCAATTAATAAAAATTTTATACGATCTTTCCTTGCAATGAAAAAAAATCTGTTTGTCACAGATTAACATTTAATTTTACAAAAGTCGTTACTACATAAAACAAATTTGTTTCAATCACAAAAATGATTTATGAAAAAACATTATTACTTTTTGATATTCAGAAGCAGCTAGAATTTCAAATAATTCTTTCAGTCGGGAGATCTTTGGAGGTACTCGTGACATTTTGACATTGTCATGAACTCATGAATACGATAAAAGACGAAACACAGTAATCACATTATTCCCACTGATGTAATGTAACATGATGTAAAGCATGAGTTATTAGCCCATACGTTCTATTTTCACAATGGACTCATTCTTCTCACATCGCTTATCGTTTCTTTTGTATGTATTAGGTACCACGAAACATATAACCAAGGATGGACGATGACTCGCATTCCGGTTGGTCCACCCGGCAACGTGATGCCAACGATGACACGCGGTTCGCAACGCAACGGGAAGTACCCGTCCCTGAACACAAATCTCGCAGTCGAGTTAATCCCCCTTTCCCCCTTGCCGCCTCGGACCCTTGCTATCCTCCGGTCACGAAGAGCTGTGGGCAGAGGGTGACGGTCGTTGCCGATGGCGATGGCAGTCGATCATCGGCTCGGAGTAGGAGATGGTCGAAGAAGTGCGGCCACACAGAGGGGGCGGCAAGGCGGGCAAACCATCGGTCGACGAAGAAGAAAAAGAAGAAGAAGAAGAAGAAGAAGGAGGAGGCGGAGAAGAAAAACCGGTTCGACAGGTTCGGGCTCCTATTTACCTGACCATGTAGCGCCTGCCTGCCTGCCTACCTACGAGTCGGATCGTTATGTATTATGCAGTCCCCCTGTATGTGTAACGCATAACTACAGCGTGTATCGTAGCGCGGCGAGGGGGGCACGAGGGGGCAGAGGGACCGAGAAAAAGTGGACGAGGAAGAGACGGAGAACGGAGCTGGCGGGCCCCCGGCGAGATGCAAGATGAGACGGGGCCCGGAATGAGAAGGAGGAGCGCAAGAGAGAAGGGGGGAGGAGGGCGGCGAAGGAAGAAAAGTAAGGGGGGAAGAAGCGGACCGCAACATGCCGGATGATGAAAGCGGTCCCCCGTGCCTGACCTCTGTGCGATCTTCACTCTCGTCCTGACATTACCCGCCCCCGCCAAGAATATCTCTCCGGCCTCGAGATTCCGGCCGGGCGAGATCGAAGGGGACCGGTTTATTAGATCGTTATATCGCCGCTGTGTCGTGAAGAATGTAATAATAGCGAACGGAATACCACGAGTGGGAGTGTAAAGACCTATATAGGAGGATTCCCGAGCGAGGTCAGACCACCCCGTGTACATGCATACAAATCACATCGTTGCGGTTTTAATTTCGTGTTACGACCTAACACGTAACACGCGTCACTGTTACACGTTTAAATATACACGTTTGGATAAATCCCAATTAGCGCAGGCGGTTAAACTTGAAACTAAATTTAATTGACATTTATAAAAAAAAACGCCACTCGACTGCACGTCTCGTGCACAATCTTTATTACGATCTTGTAACTCTTGTTACAAGTTACATAATAAATAAAGTTTAATTGGAACAAAACTACGTGGCTTCATTATTATGTTTTATATAGAAAGTAGAAAGTTTAATTAAAACAGCAGCGCCGATAAGTCACGTCGACTTCTGTGATCCGAGATCTCCTCGTCGTAGCGATACCGTACAAACAATGTCCTTGCAAGATACAGCGCGAAAAGCTTTAACAGAGGCAGAGATCGAAAGCGCGGTGGGGGCTAACGATAAGACGAGTCTACACCAGCGTTCTTATAGTCGCTATAAAGGTCTGCACTTTCGCGGGCTTTACGTAACGACCGCCGCGGTCTTACGCGGGGCTGGTCCTCGTTTGGATCTTTTTTCGCGCGTTCACGAAGGCGAAAAGGCGGGGAAAACGCCAAGAGTTTCGCCGGCTCCCATATCCGGTCTACGGATGAAATTTAAACTCGCGATAAAAATATGCCAATTAAGCGCGCGCGCGTGCGTGTATTCTTTTTCTTTGTTTTTTTTTTTTTTTTTTTTGCCACGCGAGATCGCGGACATGAGTCACGAAAAGTGGTTTATGCTCGCTCAGACACGACCTACAGTTACGAAATACAGACGCTTTCGTGGACTTCGTCCTTGAAAGGAGGAAGGAAGGCTGGAGGTTAGAGTCAGTCGAGTTCGCGGGTTTTCTGAGATCGCGAGCCGCGTTAACGTATCTATGTCTCGCCGGAGAGCACCACGTTCAACTCGACTCGTAAGGTAAAACCTTACCTTATTATTTACGGCCGCGGCTCCGCCCCGCTCCCGCGAGCGCGGCAAACTTTCGTGCCGTTTCATTTATAATGCACCTTCCGCGGGAATATTGTCCGCAGTGCATAACTTTCGCCGTCGGTGCTTATTCATATTGGACTTTGTATGCCAAGCGCGGCCCTAAACGTGGAATATCGATTTCTGCCCTAGAAACGGGATATTTACGCCAATGCTATCGATACTATTATTACTTTCGTTTTATCTTGCATGTACAAGTAATTTCTGTACTCTCTGTACTCTCTGCTCTCGATATATTAATTCTAATCTTGGTTCATTGAATTCCTCTAATAAATTAATCATTTAGAGTAAGATATAATATAATTCAAGGATATTTAAAAAAGATCTGCTTTACTTTTTACAATTGCTTTTTAAAGCGTAAAAAGCGGCAGATGAGATTTTTAATATTTTTAATTCACGTGTAGAATTTGGTTAACGATACGGTGAGAAGAGAAAAAAAAATGCGCTTCTAACAGCGCTCGATGCGCTTGGCATCGTCCAAGCTCCTCTTTTCGTCGACTATCGTCAGCTCTCGTATGTAATCGTAGGCGGACGAATCGAAATATCGCGATATTTTCATACGAGCATCCGCGATATCGCGTCATATGAGACAATCGCGACCTTCCGGCGTGCTTCCTGGAAATGGCGTCGCGTTCTGGAAACTCGAAGAGAAGCTCGTCTATCACAGCGCGACACGATAAAAGTGCAGGATCCGTGTGCGAAAGCGAGGCAGATAAGCTCGCTCGGTTTCGCCAACCAGTGCGAGATATGCCGCTTTCGTGACCAAGGGAACACGCGACCGCTTTTTATAGTCGGTTCTCGAAGACGTTTAACTTCACTTGCGAACAAGGACGTATTATTAATATTCTAATGACATTCATTAAGCTGTTTGTTTCTGCCTTCAAAATTATAGCAAAAAGCGGTTTCACGGAAAACGAAAGCTCGAGATGAGATTCAGGATTCAAATCTAGAATCTTAATTGAGACATCAACGCAAATTAATAAACGTGAGCAAACGTACAGAGTGAAACGTGAATTAACGGATAATGGGCGTAAGAGAGGTGTACATGTCCCGAGCGTTTCGATTCGTTACGGAAAATTTCATTCAAAGTTTGTTCGCTGCTTGCCGCGTCGATGCTCCGCCGCGATGCTCGCGGAGAAATGAAAATCCGCGCGATTTCCGAGGGAAACGATTAGAAACTCCGATAAGTTTCCCCAGACGCGAGACACTCGGTGCGCTTTATTCATCGATCGTGAAACGCTCCCGTGGCACGCTCCACGCTTTCCTATCCATTGAAATTAAGAGCGCGCGGCCGCGCGTCCAGGCCTCGCGAGCGCGTCGGCCGTTTTCTTATAACAAATTAAAGATCGGGCCGCGCTGATAGGAGGAAGCGCCGTTACGTTAATTGGTACTCGCGGAGTAGGGTGTTACGTTTCAGGATTAATTTACTCGAAAACGATAGGCATCGCCGTCGGCATCTCCGCGCGCGCGCACTCCAATTACGGTTGCGGCTGTAATTTGCTGCACCTCGTCTATCTAAACATTGTCACGAAGCGTGACAGAGGTCGCGAATATTCGAAACGACCGAGCGATGATCGCTCCTGAGATTAAAGAAGGATCCGAGAAACGAAACGCGACGCGAAATCCTCCTTTGATCCCCTGATCTCGTGGAGCTAAGGAACATTCGAGAATTGGGATGGAACAACACGACGGGGAGAACGTTTCGAGAAACAGTTAGCAATTACCGTAGTGTGTAATTATCGTCTCTCCCGTTATCGGCGACCCGCGGCGGTTTAGGCTCTTTAACCGCGGCATGCGGAAAACCGCCTTTTCCGTTGCGCGGGGATAACTCATCCGCGCGATATGTGAACGCGGACGGTCACTCGGAGAAGGCGAGAACGCGCGTTCTACGGCCTACCGAGAGTACCGAGAGCCTACGAGGACGTTTGGTATTCCGCGCGTATCGCCTAGAGCGACGCTCGCGCAGGCATTCCGATGGAACGTGCCAGGCATCGCCTGAGGGGTCTCTCTCCGACCCTTCGAACTCCCGGTCCCCTCCTCTCCCCCCCCCTCCCTTCGTCGATTCTATGGTCAAGACTTCCCTTCGTTCCCCTGAGATGCGTGAGAGGGGTAGATGTGCGAACGAATTCTGGATTCTGAACCGGGTCCCAGGCGCTTTTCCTAAGCGTTGCCGGTCGAGAACGGATTAAGGTGCAAGACACGACACGCTGGACACGAGCTTATAAGGCGACACGCGCGCGCGCGCGCGCGCGCACACACGAGTACGTGTGTACACAGCAGATATGTGTATGAAGGTTTTTCCCTAAATTCGGCTCAAATTGGCAGGGATTGCACCCAGCAACTTTTGGAACATTACGCCGCGAAACGACGGGGTTTTAACCCTTTAACTCCGCTTACGATACCGGGGAAAAGTTTAACGGACTATCGAGCTAGCCAGTGTTGTTCTGGCTCCGTCCGTGTTTAGGAGGATCGTTGTTTTGAGTTAGTTTATGCAGCTAGTTTATACAGTTTCGAAAATCCCTCCCTCTCTCCTCCCTCCCCTCCCTCTCTTCTTGTATCATGAACTTTTAAATTACTAGCCCGGACGTTACGTAAG